CTCATATAATGGCAGAATAGGCTTAAAGTGGTATTAAACATAAAACCAAATATAGAATATATTGCAGTTTACCAATCCTTAAGATGTGGTGGCTGCAATAGTTTTCTTTTTTCTTGAAGCCAAACTCTAGTTTACACTGTAGCTACACAAGCAGTCACATCAACATTTTTTTTTCTTTTGTGATAAAGGTTTTAAATTAATAAACAAAAGCTGATCATTGTAAGCACCCCTGTATGTGGTAAATGGTTTGTCTCAAAGCTCTAACTGCTACATTTGCAGGAGAACATGTTCTATTGAAAACAACAAACTTACTGGCATGATCATCAGGTGAAAAGAAAGGGAAGAAAGCATAAAAAAGAAAATGAATGCAGCCATCAAATCTAAGGATTGGCAAGCTTCAATATAATAAATGTTTTCTTTTGGGTTTATTACCACTTTAATAAAAATGGCAGCTTTTCCCGAACTATTTTACACCATACAGGTTCCCCCTCTATTCCTTAAACACTCTGACCTCAAGTATGTCTATAAAATAGGAAAACAATATAAATGAGCGCTCTGAGGAAGTAGCTGCTTGCACCACAAAAAGGTTACACTCAGGGGCGGACTTACCATTTGGAAACTAGGGCACTGGGTCAGTAGGGGGCCCCATGAGATGCCCCTGGTACCTTTTTCATAGGCTTTTTTGAGTTTGGGCAATGACACAGGGGCCCCATGATCCCCTATTGCCCGGGGGCCCCATGAGTTGTCAGTCCGCCCCTGGTTACACTCTAACCTTACAAAACAATACTGGAGAAAAAACAGTGCAGCTCTTAAGTATTTCTGTGACATGAACATAAATCATTCCTGTATATAATTACCTATCATTATACTAGTGCAAAACAGAAAAAAGAAAAGAAAAGGGGACACCTCCAATGTGTTAGGTGTGACACGTTTCCCATAAATCAATATGTCATAAATAAACAAATAGGTAATACAATAAAGAATCAATCAATAATGTTCCAATATACTGCTGTCCAATCCATATAGTGTATATCCAGATGAACAAGTCCCAAAGTGCAAACAAACTTCTCCACCTTGTCACCAGCAGTGTGCAATCCTCCACCTGTATGCACTCACCAGAGGACTAAAATGCAAAGGCATGTATTATAGCCAATGCTTTTTCTCCAGTATATCTGTAAAATGTTCAGAAAATTCACCTGAGACAGCAGCAGAGCAACCATAGGCCTGTGTACCTTTTAACAACACTGTACAATAGTGGCACAATGAAGGTCTTTGCTACTGTATATACAGTTTTGGTAGATGTTGACATCAAGCAACCATTTCCTTCCCATATACTGTAGCTCTAGAAAAATGAAATGCTTCCCCAATAATCTGTTTCTTTTCTTAATGGTGAAATCTTACATTGCCACAACTATTTAAAAAAAATTATCAAAGGGACTGCATTGGATGTCCTTTTAGGATACCCTACCTGTAGTTGAAAAGTAATTTCTAGCAGCTGCTAGACTACACCTCTCCAACAGCTGGCCTTAATAAATTGACCAGGAATTTCCCCCACCTTTCAGTTGACACCCTTCTAAAATCACTATGTTTATCTTGGGGCACAATCATAGTCAAAATGTACCCTGAAATGATGCTTCGGCTTTTCTGCCATTATTATATATCTCCACATCACTCTTATCTTATGGGCCCAAGCTCCTCCTCTTGCTGCCTGACATGTGACCATCTAGATGAACATGGTTCATTTTTTCTGGGCGTGCCCCAGGATGAAACAATTTTGGCACTCAGTAGTGCACTATGCTACCAAACACTTGGTAAACCGTTTACCTCCAACTCCTGAATGGGCACTTTTTGGCCTAACCAATATCCCAGGAATCAAAATCTCAAGAGGCTGTAAACAACTTATTGTTATATCCTCTGTAGCATGGAATATTATCCTTCATAAGTTGATCTACCCAGAACCTCTCACCATTTCTTTGGTTATAGCCAAATTATCCTATGTTTTCCACATGGAATGGGTGGAGGCCTCTATATATAAGGAATCAAGAGTCCAAAAATGTTTTGAGGTTTGGTAATTTTTCATTCAAACCTTGCCCATAAATACTCAACAATCTATAGTACAACATTTCCAAAACAACCAGTGGTACCAAACCCGACTGCTAACCAATGACCCCCCCACAATGAAATCTTCATTTAAATTTAAATATGTTTTATAAACTAATGTAAAAGGTCCCTCCTCCCCTTTCCTCTACTTGTTAATTGTTAGATTGACTGCCATCCAGCCATCCAGATGCTTTTTAAGGTTTTTCCCTAGACCCCGCATTGTTAGTTTGTTCTCAGATTATACTAACAAATTGTACACTAACATCCCTACATTGTCTCATTGGCTAAATGTTCCAGCCACTCTTATTGTTAACCACATTAGAGCACAAAAAACAAACAAAAAAATTACTTGGGGCAATTCAATCCACTGGCATCTACATAAAATCGAAATATTGAATGTTTTGAATAGATATCTTTTAATTTGTTTCTTTCTCTTCTTTCTTACTGCTTAACCACTTAACAGGGTGGCATTCCTGTGCAAACAGGGTGCTACAGGGTGGCATTCCTGTGCAAAATCACTTACTGTATGTATACGTGATTTTGCACTTCCACCAAACAGGGGCATGTGCGCACTGCCGAAGGATCACTTCTGCTGTGAAATGTCACAGCACAAACTGATCTACATGCCCTGGCGAGCATGTGCTCGCCAGCACCTGCAGATCATGGGTCAGGAAGGAAGAATAGAGCTGTACCTATGTTTACATAGATACAGTTCTGTTGTGACAGGGGGGAGTCATGAATCCTGTGTCTCTGCAGAGCTGAGAACACGATCCATCACTTCCCATTGTAAAAGCACCACCAAGTGTAAACCAAGCACATAGATAGGCACACACTTAACCCTTTGATCACACTAGATGTTAATCCCTTCCCAACCAGTGTCATTAGTATAGTGATTAGTGTATATTTTTAGCACTGATCACTGTATTAGTGTCACTGGTTCCCACAAAGTGTCAGTTAATGTAAAAATGTCCACCACAATATCGCAGTCCTGCTGTAAGTCTCTTATCGTATAACATTTTTTAAAAAATGCCAGTATATGTATCATAGTTTGTAGATGCTATAACTTTTGAGCAAACTAATCAATTTACAATTATTGGGATTTTTTTTTTACCAAAAATATGCAGCAGAATACATTTTGGCCTACATTTATAAAGAAATTTGATTTTTAAAAATGTTTTATTGGACATTTTATAGTAGAAAAAAAAAAAAAAAATATATATATATATATATATATTAAAATTGTTAGTCTTTTTTTGTTTATAGCGCAGAGGTGAACAAACACCACCAAAAGAAAGCTGCATTTGTGGGGGGAAAAATTACATAAATTTAATTAGGGTACAGCGTTGCATGACTGCGCAATTGTCAGTTAAAGTAATGCAGCGTCGTATCGCAAAAAATAGCCTGGTCAGGAAAGGAAATCTTCTGGAGGGTAAGTGGTTAATAACAAAATTGGTAAATCATTGCTAAAACAAAAATGTTTATTTTCACAACTATTTTGGATTATGTGTATATTATGTATACTAGATAATGGGTCTTCTACCTGTGGTCCATAAATCACAAACTATGACTGTCAAATTTGACTAGATATAAGTAAAGTTAACATCCAATTCTACTTTTGCTTTAAGTATGCCCTACAGCTAAACTCTGTTTAAATTAATTTCACAGAAATAAATAAATTAAATCATAGAATTCCTGCTGAACTTGCTATATACAGTACATAAAAATGTAGCTCTTCACTCCACAATGAGATAGTCCCAATCAGGGGCGGACTGACCATTTGAGAACTCGGGCACTGCCTGAGGGCCCGAGGTCAGTAGGGGGCCCCATGAGATGCCCCTGGTACCTTTCATAGGCTTTTTTGGGTGTGGTTTGAGTGTGGGTGAGGACACAGGGGCCCATGATCCCCAATTGCCCGGGGGCCCCATGAGTTGTCAGTCCACCCCTGGCCCCAGTATTTGAGTATACCAAGATATCTGAATAATACTAATCAAATCTGGTGCATCTGTGCATGGTAGCCAATTAGCTTCTAACCTCAGCTTGTTCATAAAAGCTTGGCAATAAAACTTGAAAGCTGATTGGTTTCTATGCAGAGCTGCACCAGACTTTGCACTCTCCAGTTTCAGTATATAACCCCCATTATGTTTCATGTTAATATACTGAGCTGTAAGGAATGTATTAGTTGGTTCTTCATATTTGTGTAAACATTTCATACTTTAGTCAGACCTACAGGCAAGGAATATACATATATTCCATTTTTTTACAAATTAGTTTTTTTCTGGTCCTAACAATGACGAGTTTCTAACCTATTTGCCACATGGGATTTAGTATATCACATATGTTTTACAGTGAATTATTTAACAGATGTTTCCATAAGCTGCATATGAAAGCTTTCCCAAATATGATGTCACTATTTTGGGACTGCATTTGATTCCAACACAAAGACTGAAGATTAAGACCTTGCTGTGAACTTACACTCTAAAGATAATGAGATAATTTTTGGGCAAATTGAAGAATTCCTCACTGAAAAAACCTAATTAGTTGAATTGCTTGACAATAAAGCTCCCTTCTCCTTTCTCCATTCCTTTCTAATGCTCCTCTTTTGTGGATCTACTAGAGTCAATATTATAGATGTGTGAAAAATGGAAAATCTTCCTAACGTCTTCCCACTCCAGCTGTTGCCAAACTATGAGGCATTGCAAGATTGATAGTTACAAGCATGACTCCCAAAGGCAGAAGCATGATGGGACTTGTAGTTTTGTTACAGCTTGAGAGCCACCAGTTTGACACCCCTGCTCTATACTGAAGATACACTATATTGCCAAAAGTGTTGGGACACCTGTTGTGACACCTTTCCAAATCATTTTATTAAGGTGTTCTAATCACCTCCATGGCCACAGATGTATAACATCAAGGACCTAGGCATGCAGACTGCTTCTACAAACATTTGTGAAAGAATGGGTCGCTCTCAGGAGCTCAGTGAATTCAAGCGTGATACCGTGATAGTGCGAGATGGGGAAACAGCTCTCATTGTTTGAACACTGTTTGTGTGAAAGTAAATTAATGTTTTGACTGACATTCTGCGGTTTAGCCACAAGATGTCACTGTTTTTCTAACACAGCCTCAGACTGCATAGATATTTGTATATTCATGAAGAGGTGGGGTTTTTGCACACAGAGTTGGAGAGAACAGGAAGGAGAGAGAGAAGCCATGTTTTGGAGCATGATGAATAAGGGGCAGTGTGAGTTGAGAATCTAATGACGTCCAGGTGTGAAAGCGTCCCTCAGTAACCAGAGCTGCAGCTGAGTGAAGCCGATGAGATTGCTGCCAGGAAGCTGATGAGATTGCTGCCAGGAATGCTGATGAGATTGCTGACAGGAAGCTGATGAAATTGCTGCCAGGAATGCTGATGAGATTGCTGCCAGGAAGGCTGATGAGAGCAGAGGAACTAAGCAACATATATGGCGAGACCGCATGCTTGTTGGAGAGACATTTATTCTGTTCAGAGTCACCAGCGGATGAAAAGCAGACTGGGTCGGTAAGATCGTGCACGCACCTCATTTCAGTGTTGGCACCTTGAGACTGAGTCCAGGCCTATAGTTAGTTAGTTAGGGTCTCTGTTTGTGTCAGGCCACAAGTGTTGTTACTGATTATTGGAAGGACTCCACAACTTAAAGTGACATTTCACATTGGAGAGCTGATAAAATCCTACAAACTCAAGCCAGACTGGCGTTTTGCTCAGAAGGAATACTCAGGCACATGCTACAGGACCAGTTATGGGAGAGGGAATACTGTAGATTTGTGTAACATTGTAAGCTGTTGTGCTGCATCGCAGGCTAGCCCATACCGTACACCCATACATTGATTCCTGCTCTTTTAGGGTAATAACAGGTAAGGTGTGGCAGCTTATTTGTACCCGCCAGTAGGTAAATTACTTCACTTTCTAACTTCATCCATCAGAAGGCACCGTGCTGTGCAGCACAAGGGTCTCAGCCATTGGGCTGGGTGTATGTACATTTATTGTATGTTTCCAGCATTTATGGTTGTGTTTATTTGCCACATCTAAGTAAAATTCTGTTGTGGCAAAAGCTGGTGTTGGGGTTGCTTTCCTCGTTCGTGACTTCACTATCCTGGGGAGCCCACCCCGCTACACGGCTTACAATAGGTTGCCACCTGTGCAATAAGTCCGTCTGTGAAATTTCTTTGCTACTAAATATTCCACGGTCAACTGTTAGTGGTATTATAACAAAGTGGAAGTAACTGGGAACAACAACAACGTAGCCACAAAGTGGTAGGCCACGTAAAATGACAGAGTGGGGTCATCACATGCTGAAGCGCACAGTGCACAGAAGTCACCAACTGACTTCAAAGTCATTAGCTAAAGATCTCCCAACTTTGTGTGGCCTTCAGATTAGTACAACAGTGCATAGAGAGCTTCATGGAATGGATTTCCATGGCCGAGCAGCTGCATCCAAGCATTACATTACCAAGTGCAATGCAAAAGCATCAGATGCAGTGGCGTAAAGCACGCCGATACTGGAGTGATGAATCACGCTTCTCTGTCTGACAATCTGATGGATGTGTTTGGGTTTGGCGGTTGCCAGCAGAACTGTTCTTGCCTGACTGCACTGTGCCAAGTGTAAAGTTTGGTGGAGGGGGCATTATGGTCCGGGGTTGTTTTTCAGGGATTGGGCTTCAGCATACCAATACATTTTTGAACAATTTCTTACTCCCAACTTTATGGGAACAGTTTGGGGATGGCCCCTTCCTGTTCCAACATGACTGCGCACCAGTGCACAAAGCAAGGTCTATAAAGACATGGATGAACAAGTTTGGGGTGGAGGAGCTTGACTGGCCTGCACAGAGTGCTGACCTCAACCCGACAGAACACCTTTGGGATGAATTAGAGCAGAGACTGCAAGCCAGACCTTCTTGTCTAACATCAGTGCCTGATCTCACAAATGCACTTCTGGGAGAAAGATCAAACATTCCCATAGACACACTCTTAAACCTTGTGGACAGCCTTCCCAGAAGAGTTGAAGCTGTTATAGCTCCAAAGGGTGGGCCAACTTAATATCAAACCCTATGGACTATGCCATTAAAGTTCATGTGCGTATAAAGGCAGGCGTCCCAATACTTTTGGCAAAATTGTGTATATTAATCTACATCCTCCCTTTGACAGCTAACAGCCAACATTGGATGAGGTTGCTAGCTATCAGACTGGGCTGTCAATGATGCACAAAAATGTAAAAAAAAAAAAATTAACCACATTACTACCACACTATAGTCAAAAGACGGCTACAGCACGGCACTCTCTTGTTCTAGGAGGGCATCCATCCCAGAACCCTCTCACCTTCACATATCCTTTGGACACACATGGTAAGAGCTGCTGTGAGTGACTCTTTACAGTGATCTGTGATCAGCTGTGTCCAAAGGAGATGTGAAGGTGGAAGGGTTCTGGGAGGACGTCTATGGATGCCCTCCCACAACAAGAGTGCTGTGCTGTGGCCATCTTTCGGCTATAGTGAGGTAGTAATGTGGTTAATTTTTTTTTTCCATTTTTGTGCATTTGTCATTCAATAATAAAAAAGAGAATACCAAAAAAAGCTTTATGTGTATTCAAAATATAAAACATATCATATATAATAAGTATGTTATTTATCCATAGCGTTATAAAGTTAATCGATACACATTGATGTTACTAAATTTGGCCTGAGCATCTAAGCTTAAGTGAGCTCCGGGCATTAAAGGATTACATTTTCCTGGTGATATAGGTGAACTGTTTCATTATTTTAAGCAAAATGTACCTTTACCTGTGTAGACAAAAATTCTTACGCTGGCTGTCCCTAATCGAAAGTATGGGTAAAAAAAGTTCGATCAGACAGAATCTCTTTAAGTAAGTAAAAATGAAACTGCAAATGTTTTCATATACTGTATGTTTTTTTTTACTTTCTGAAGTTTAGTATATTTTGAAGTAATATAGTGTATTAAAATAGCATTTGCAAGCAAGTACAGTCAGGTCCATAAATATTGGGACATCGACACAATTCTAACATTTTTGGCTCTATACACCACCACAATTGATTTGAAATGAAACAAGCAAGATGTTCTTTAACTGCAGACTGCCAGCTTTAATTTGAGGGTATTTACATCCAAATCAGGTGAACGGTGTAGGAATTACAACAGTTTGCATATGTGCCTCCCACTTGATAAGGGACCAAAAGTAATGGGACAATTGGCTTCTCAGCTGTCCCATGGCCAGGTGTGTGTTATTCCCTCATTATCCCAATTACAATGAGCAGATAAAAGGTACAGAGTTCATTTCAAGTGTGCTATTTGCATTTGGAATCTGTTGCTGTCAACTCTCAAGATGAGATCCAAACAGCTGTCACTATCAGTGAAGCAAACCATCATTAGGCTGAAAAAACAAAACAAACCCATCAGAGAGATAGCAAAAACATTAGGCATGGCCAAAACAACTGTTTGGAACATTCTTAAAAAGAAGAAGTGCACCGGTGAGCTCAGCAACACCAAAAGACCCGGAAGACCACGGAAAACAACTGTGGTGGATGACCGAAGAATTCTTTCCCTGGTGAAGAAAACACCCTTCACAACAGTTGGCCAGATCAAGAACACTCTCCAGGAGGTAGGTGTATGTGTGTCAAAGTCAACAATCAAGAGAAGACTTCACCAGAGTGAATACAGAGGGTTCACCACAAGATGTAAACCATTGGTGAGCCTCAAAAACAGGAAGGCCAGATTAGAGTTTGCCAAATGACATGTAAAAAAGCCTTCACAGTTCTGGAACAACATCCTATGGACAGATGAGACCGAGATCAACTTGTACCAGAGTTATGGGAAGAGAAGAGTATGGAGAAGGAAAGGAACTGCTCATGATCCTAAGCATACTACCTCATCAGTGAAGCATGGTGGTGGTAGTGTCATGGCGTGGGCATGTATGGCTGCCAATGGAACTGGTTCTCTTGTATTTATTGATGATGTGACTGCTGACAAAAGCAGCCGGATGAATTCTGAAGTGTTTCGGGCAATATAATCTGCTCATATTCAGCCAAATGCTTCAGAACTCATTGGACGCTTCACAGTGCAGATGGACAATGACCCAAAGCAGACTGCAAAAGCAACCAAAGAGTTTTTTAAGGGAAAGAAGTGGAATGTTATGCAATGGCCAAGTCAATCACCTGACCTGAATCCGATTGAGCGAGCATTTCACTTGCTGAAGACAAAACTGAAGGGAAAATGCCCCAAGAACAAGCAGAAACTGAAGACAGTTGCAGTAGAGGCCTGGCAGAGCATCACCAGGGATGAAACCCAGCGTCTGGTGATGTCTATGTGTTCCAGACTTCAGGCTGTAATTGACTGCAAAGGATTTGCAACCAAGTATTAAAAAGTGAAAGTTTGATTTATGATTATTATTCTGTCCCATTACTTTTGGTCCCTTAACAAGTGGGAGGCACATATGCAAACTGTTGTAATTCCTACACTGTTCACCTGATTTGAATGTAAATACCCTCAAATTAAAGCTGACAGTCTGCAGTTAAAGCACATCTTGTTCATTTCATTTCAAATCCATTGTGGTGGTATATAGAGCCAAAAATGTTAGAATTGTGTCGATGTCCCAATATTTATGGACCTGACTGTAGCTTTAACTGTGTAGCACTAGTAGTTTGATTTCTATGATGGTTTATGAAACTGTTGCTATAGATACTTTGAAAAATTAAAAATTAAATGCAAAAGACTTCTAGACAGTCTTAACAGTTTATATATTCTATATGCATATATGAATATAAACATATTTTTACTTACATTTTTTCCAGTGCATGAAATCTTTACTAGTATTATATACTTTATTAGACTGTATATTCATGGAATTATTAACTGTATTTATTTAAGCTGAGTTGCGTTTAGACCTTAACCAAGGTATAGGCCTTACTGCATGATTACTGGATAATTTATTTAAGGATGCATTAAAAGAAAAAAAAGCTTTATATTGTGCTATACAATTTCATCTATGTAAGTATATATATATATATATATATATATAACACTGTGCATTGTTACTGTGAATGTGGATTTTCATGTAACCACATGACAGCAGTGTTTGGCATTTCTGTTCATTGTAGCCTTAATACAGGTGTTCATCTACTGCTGGGAGTTGTATGGTACATGCAGAACTTTTTTCACAGTAAAGCTGAAACACAACTACCGGGTCAAGGAGCAATCACTGGGGGTGGGAGCAAATAAAAGGAAAAGCTTGGGAAGATGGAGAGAGAGACTTTGCTTGTGGAAACAGTGCGTGAGAGCTGTGTTGTGCTGTGCGGTACTGGACCAGACCTGGTTGAGCCAAAGAGTGCAGAGAAGCTGAAGAAGCTGATTAAAAGACTGTCTAGCTGAACAATGCATGGAGAGAGCTGCACCAGGGAGACCTTACAGCTGCAGGAGTGTGTGAGTCACAAGTGCCACCGCCGCATCTTCAGCTAAAGGGGGCCCCCCATTGCAGAACTACTGTCTTTGTCTGGATTGTCACAAGAGGACTGGTGAGAGGGTCATTTATCCACCCATCTATACTGCTATTTAAGTTAACTCTTGTTGCCAGCCATGCCTGCTGCACTCTTCAACAGTTTAGTTAGAGTCAAATACACCACCCCCCCTTATTGCTTTAAGCAGCCATTCCTTGTTTGCCACTGTGGTCACTGCAAGCAGGTTGCTGAACTGAGTTAACCCTTTGCTCTCTGCTAAGGAGAACCTTGTCCCTGCAGCCACAGCCATTTCTGTCCAAGCCATTTAAAGAGGGTGCTTTTGTCGCTTATGTTCAAAATCATCTTTTAAAGGGAAACACACCTACAACTCCCCCCCCCCCCAAAGAGACTATTATTCACAACTCAACTTCTAATGTGACCCTTCCCAAAAACTTCATATTTTAAAGGGAGTCATCTTGTTCTCTACATCTTAAAAGGACTACATCCTTCACTGTGTACCAACCCAAGGCCCCCAACTAAGCCGGCAGTAGAATCAACCTTCTGATTATTCATATTCAGGGACTTTCTTTGTAGAAGTACTGGTGTGCAGGAGGTCTAGCAGATTTTCCTCTGCGATTAAACCTACACTCCCCTGACTGAGGGCCTGCAAGTGAGCTAGCCCAATTAGCTTCCTTGATATGCTTACACGTCTCACTTGGCGAGTCATCCCCCAGTCGGAGGGCTATTGTTTATACCCTCAGTCATGCAGGACATAGGTGGTCACACTTCAAAGAGTATTTTACAATACTGTATCATTCTTGTGTTGACTCACTGTACTTATTGATTAACCTTTAAACTGTTGCATCACTTTACTATTTTATTGTTATAAACCTGGTCAATTTTACCATAGCTGGTGTGAATTTTTGTGATTGCCGGGAAATCTACCCATCAAGGTACTTGTGTGGTGTCAGCAGGAGTAGGGCTCCAACCAGAGCCAAGGAAAAAGCAGAGGATCTAAATATACCAGCAGCTCCGTCAGGGGTAGTGCTACATGTCCAACCCAAGGATAGCACTCCTTCCCCTTATGCAGG